CACCAAATTCGGGGGATCCCTTCAGCTCGAGGAGCCCTCTCGAACGCCACCCTCCGCGTGTCAGTTGCCCACCGGGATCACTAGATCGGTCGGCGCCGGACCGCGAATTTAACCACCTGTAACTCCCGAACCACGGGGGCTATCGACACTGGGGTGGTCTCATTCAAAAGAGGGCCTCGAGACGTACACTCGATTCGTGTTTGAGAGGGTTCCTCAAGCTGAAGGGATCCCCCGAATTTGGTGCGGATCCGCCGTGCCGTTACGGAGCTATGGCCGTTCAAAGTTTCAATGGTTTTCCATAGACTTAAGCTTTAAAGCTTTTCATCCAGGTCGCCAGTAGCAAACAATGGAGCGCGATTTGCGCTACTGTCTTCACACACAGACGGATGTGACATAATTTACCTCTGTAAATAAATATAAATTCACGTCTCGCGCACTTTAATGCCCTTGGAATGCAACATGTACGTTCCCTTGGAACTGGAATCATGGGGGAATATCATGTGAAGTCCACTTCGCAGGGCACTTACGGGCGAATAAGCCAACACTTGAATGCTGCTGCCTGAACAAGAGACCTCCTTACTGAAGTGAAAGTGTTGACTGGTGTCACTATCTCGCGAACGCAACGGCGGATCTCCACCAAATTCGGGGGATCCCTTTACGTTACTGCATTTCTTTGACTTATCATTACTACATGTAAATAATAGTGTTACCTGCTTTGAATAGGCCTGAAAGCTGCAAAGCACTTAATGATTTACAATACCTAGTCCTCTTAGAATTAAAAATGTTTTATGGATTCATTCATCAAGGCATTAGGTAAATTTTACATTTAAAGATATTTGTGCAACTGTAGCACATACTGAAAAAAAATGAGTAAAATGTACTGATAATTTTCTACCAGCACATTATCCATAAATTTTCCGTTGCGGAAATACCTACCATGGTTAATTTTCATAAGTTTTCCATTAACCCTAAAACGCAACGCAGTGCAGTGCAAAATTAAAAATACCGCCATATACAGTACACTGTATGAATGAAATTGCAATGTGAAAGTTAAATAACTAACACTGACCGTTGCCTGGTCTTTAATTGCTAGAGGGAAAAAAATCCCATATAGTCTATTTAACAATGGGATTCAAATTTTAAATGGTAACTGCTGAAAAGAAGTTGAAAACAATAAAGTAGCCTACAAAATTAAACACTTAGGATGTGCTAAACAAAATGTTGGACGTGCTCCTCATCCTCTTTAATAATAGGAATAGCCTATTATTAAAGTATCTGCTGCATGCAGTTCTTCTCTACTGTTTATGTGGTAGAAAGATAATAAGCAAAATAAATGTAATAATAAATTAATCGCGCCGATGACGGTCACCATGGCGTGAGCTCTGTAACATCGCGCTGTTTTATCCCACTTTCGGAATTGTACTTGACGACGGTAAAATGTTGTTTAAAATATGAATAGCTTCAGACAACTTACGACTAACCGCCATTGAAGAGTTTGTGAGACCCGCCAAATTAAACGGAAGTGTTGACACAGTTTCCGTTTCAAGTGAAATTAGCTCTCATCGTCTACTGAAATATTTACTTATTTCACTTATGCTTATGAATGAATTTCACTAAGGTTGATCAATGTTTTCACTAGTGTATGTAAGAGGTTTTTCAGTTATGCATATGAATGTATTTCACTAAGGTTGGTAAGTGTTTTCACTAGTGTATGTAAGAGGTTTTCAGTAATGCGTATGAATGAATGACACTAAGGTTGATCAATGTTTTCACTAGTGTTTGTAAGAGGTTTTTCAGTAATGC